TATATATATATATATATATATATATATATATATATATATATATATATGCTTATATGCAACACCTCTACATATACATACGTGAAAATAAAGATAAAAGTCCGTATACCTCCTTTATCACATCCTCTCCCTCCACCATCCTGAAACCTCCGTTTCCTCCAAGAAGACCTCGGTCTATTATGAATTTTACCTAGTGGTAATAGGACTATCATAGCATTTTTGTCAATAAATGTTGTTTCTACCACAATCTACTTTGATCCCTTCCCTTTTTGTGGTTTCTCTTTTTTACATTGCGGATATTGGTGCGTAACACGCGAATCGCTTTTTACACTTAGGATAAAAGTAATGCTGCGGATTGATTCCTTTCCACGATATCCCTGCGCGTTTATCATTGCCTTTGCAAATCTCTGAGGTCTTGTAGAAGTGTATAACGGAAGTCCATTTTGTCGGGACTCGATCTGAATTTTAATGCCAATAAAAATCAGCTTCCAGCAAAGTAATTGCCTTTTTGATTCTAATCCCCATGGATCACCAGGTGTTTCCACAGAATTTCGAAAGCTCCACGTCCATTATGTAGCTAAAAACTTTATTTTAAGCGATTCTGTTAATTGAATTGATCTGACTTTGTTCGTCCTAGGAATTATATTCCTATTTTCAAATTCATATTTCAAGATATCGAGAAAATAACAATCGAGCCATCGAAAGTCGAACATCGATCGATCTATTGCATGCAGTACGCACCCGTTTACGATATGTAATCACGCGACCTACGACACACGTGAATTTTGACGTTCTGAAAGTAAACGAGTTTGCGATCGGTTGAGACTTCGCGTGAAGGACGAATTTTCAGAGATGCAAAAGACGAAGAAGAAAGGCAAGCCGCAACAACCTCCCTTGTCCGTCGCCGAGCCCGCGCCCGCGGAATCGTTGACGGACGAGGACGTGGGCAAGGACTTCGGGACTCTCATGAACGCGCCGCTCTCGAAAGGCGGGCACTTCGTCTTCAAGTCGGAGAAGGCCTGGACCGTTGACTCGTCGGAGTACTCGGAATTCTTCACCCTGAACCTGAAGGAGGTGTCGGCCGCGATTGACTGCATTCCGTTCAACGAATACGTCGACGTGCCTGACAGGTACTTCGTAGTAAGTACTCGTGGAGACACTCGAGATACAAGTGATACTTTAATTGTAAGGACCTGGAGCAGAATAGCTGACTTACAATTTTAAGACAGTGTTTTGTACTTTAAATCTTTGTTTATAGTAACGCACAATACTGTCTTGTGTCACACGTCTTGTACATATGCACGAAGTGTCAATATTTGTAAGACTTGAGACACAAAACAGTATTGTGTTACTAAAAACAAAAATTTAAAGCATAAAACATTGTCTTAGAATTATAAGTCAGCTATTCTGCTCATCAGGCCCCAAGAGATATTCAAGAATACATAAAGAGATATCAACACCAATCGCACGAATGACTCCCGACCGACCGATTAATTCGACGATTTGCATATTGATTCTAGAGCGATCAGTTGACGAGTATCTACAATGATGCTGAGAGAAGCAAGGCGGCTTACAGCACAATTCTGGACGAACTGATCAAGGAGAACGCGAAGACTGACCAATCGAAAGATATGAAGTCAACGACAAACGTGAAACCAGAAAACAATCTTGATAATTTAGAAAAAGATCCAGATTCTTTAGGTGATATAGAGGAAGATCTAGATTTTCTATTGTCTCTAAAGGAACCTCTCCCGAGCACTGTGACAGAAATCGCCCAGCCCATGTCGCTATCTACGTCTCGTAGCAGTGGTAAGATCTTAGATTGAAACAAGTATTTCAGCATTCTACACTTTAGTAGTTTTGTTTTCGCAAGTTTTGTTCTGAAAATTATGAGGCCAAGTTTCCGTCTTTAAAAAGATAATTGTAAACGTACAATTTGCAATTAGACTAGTTTTCTGCAATGTGATGAAAGATTTATATCGTAAATATTCATTGACGATTTGTTGCAGATTCCAAAACAAAGTCGACGAACATTCCGAATAAACCAATTGACTTGGACTTAGAAAAATGGCTAGACTCTGTTTTAGATGACTAATTTTCCTATATTATTGTGAAAAGACTGAGAAAAAAGGAAAAGTAACAAAGTAGATAATGTAAAATTATAAAAAGGTCGTTTATTTGACACATATAACATGTAAAGAATTATATTTTTATGATTAAAAAATTATATGAATCTATATCTTGTTTTTACATTAAAAAATATACATTATATATTATAATAAACATATTTATATATATTAAATGCATTTTAAAGAGTAACTTATACTTATAGCTACCTCACAGCTTGTTAAAATGCAGTGAAGATGTTAGTCTTTGAACTTTTTTGTAAGAAATACATGCATGTAGTCATATACTACAAGCATAATGGCACCGCCTGGACCTAATCTCAGCACCTTTGGCACCAAGCCTTTGTACAAGGCTCTAAATCTAGAATGGCAGATTTGACGAGTGAGCGACCTCAAGCTCAAGTACAACGATATTGGTAAGTAAAACGTATGTAAATACCCTTCTCTCTTGTAAACAATACGCATGGTGTTCAGTGTCCCTTTGTATTGCGTCTTACCATCTTGTGGTCCCTGAATGCGACTTTTAGCCACGTCAAACGGTATGTTTAAACAGGAAGCGACGGTACCCGAGACGAATCCTATAGCAACCTGGAAAATTTTTGAGTGCACATTACAAACCGATGGGACAACGTGCAATTTTGTACATACACGTCCTGTGTTAAGTCACACAAAACTGAATGATTACTTTAGTTAAGAATTCCAGCCAAGGTTCTTTACTGGCCGGTATATATCCTTTAACAGAATGATAAAAACCAAAATAAAATGAATTGAACACCGCATTTCTCATTATGGTGGCTGAAAGCCCTTTGTTCAGACCGTTCAATCCATACTTTGAAATTATCTCTTTTGTCACTGCGACTGTTGACGGGCTTTCTTTCACGTGCTTTCGATTAGATTGTAGTTTTACTTTGACCACTTCGAAAGGATTAACTAATATAGCCTCTGTAACACCGGCAAAGAAACCAGCGCATGAGAATGTCTGCAACGATGCAACTTTTTTTTATTTTGCAAATAATTAGCAAATTATAATAATCGTATTAGAGTAATTACCAACGGAGTGGGTGCACTAGCGCCGAATAAGAAAAACTGTTTATATTGCTCAAACGTAAAAAACTAAAAAAGAAAACGTTTTTATAAATAAAAATAAATGCTAGACTTCTATTTGCACATCAAGCAATGTACTTACTTTAACTGCACGTTTGGGAGTTTCTACAAGTATCGGGGGCAAAATTCCTTTCCAAAATGCCGGTAATCCTTCAGTCTTGTACATTTTAGTCATACAATCCCGAATTCCTATAATATTAATTAGCTAACGCATGACACAATACAAATGTTTAAATGCTATATATAAGTACCTGTATAATATAATGGATCTGACTTGGTTGTCTTCACTTGGAGTTGAAAACGCGTTTTAACAAGATCCATTGGATGCATTATGCAAACTTCGATAAAACCTGCCGATCCACCAGCACCAATCTGGATGGCAGCCTCTTTTAAGAGATTCTCCGTGGTATTGCGTGTCATTTTTGCAGTCTCGATAAACGGATCGTCCGATTGATATAAAATATGGGAAAAATAATCAAAATATATTATGTTTTACGTCAACGTAATATAATACTCTATGTTGTCATTTGCTCGCTACAGGTTGCATCTGAAAATAAATAAGTCAATTTAAATTCCTTCTGCTGTTGTAAAATTGTAAATAATATACTGTATTACAGTAGCGATTCCCTAAACTGACATTTATAGTTATTCTTGTGCTCTTGAATCTGTTTGACGTTGCATCACTTATTCTTACCAGCTCGGTTTAACGGATGAAATGGAATAATATGTATGTGCTATCTTCTCCAGTGAGACATCAGAAAGTGTTGATTTATGCGCCGATATACCTGCACTTTTGCTGTATAAATTAAAGTTTGTCTATTTTCACAACCGACACCTTATCTTGATCAGAGTTCCTGTCAGCGTGATCCATACTGCGTGCAAGAAATCTGGAGAACACCACGACCTAAAAATAATGTTTGTTGAGTTGGGATCTATTTTTAGAACTCAGAAAAGAATCCTAACCTTCAATGGAATGATTAATATATACTTGCGCTATATAACCCAAAGGCAGGGTTGAAGGCGCTTTGCTCCTTCCCAAAGGAGCAGAAACCAAAAAAAAAAATTAATATATACTTATTCGCATAGAGCTTATACAATTTTTTATTTGCAAACACATCCACAACTGTGATCTACAGTGTATAAATGTATTAAGATGCTTTATTATTAATACAATTAACATATATATATACATATATATATATATATATTACTTGTTATATATATATACTTGTTTTGTAGCTTGCATTGTTCAACTAAAATATGAGAATTAAACGATTTCTATAATTATGTAAAAAAAAGTTGAATATCAGCCCATATGTCATCAAATAATTATTTTCTGGTAATATAAAAGATTTATTATATATATATATATATGTATATATTTTTTTATTTAGTGTATAAAAAATAAAAATACATGCATGTATATTATTGTTAATAAAAGACAATATATAGAGGTATATGACAGGGTTTTTTTACTTGATAGACATGCTTCACAAAAATCTCGATAACGTTTTATCAATTTCATAAATAATTCTACGAGATTATCACCTTTATCTATGTGCATATGCAAAAACACGTGTGAAACATTATTATGCAGACCTTTCTAGAGCAGAAGACCATGTACAAAACAGCAAATTCTACCCGGTAAATTTAGCTAATAAGAAAACATCGTCGTTCCAAGTTTATAACTATTATTATATGTGGTCGAATAGAACTTTCCCACTCTTGCATGCATTCCGACCGCGACAGAGCCCGCGATCCCGATAACATGGTAAAATTTTCATATAACACGCGAGAATTTACTTACAACAATCGGCATGCATCAATTAAGTTATAAATATCCCGCACGGATCGATTCGCGACGAATCGACGACTCATCGTGAGCGCGTCATCATCACGTTCGTTATCTAACCGCGTTGCATAATTGAGTGATTGGAGAAATTCTCTTTTTCTTTTTGCGTTTCTTTGCGACGTTCGCGATAAGCGAGCGTTAAAGATCGCGTCGACATGCAAAGTAGACGACCGGATGAATAAAAAGAAAAAGGGAAAGAAAACAAAATAAACAACGAGACGTCGAGCCAAATTTTTCACGTGGCTCGCGGCAAGTCTTACTTTTTTTTTCTTCTTACAAGTTAAGACGTATCACGTAAAAGAACGTCGGACGATCGCGACAAAGCGTTCTTTCATCCCCGCTGATTTCCGCGATCACGTGACACGTTTATTATCTTTCCAAACATGCGTAGTATGCATGCATGCATCTCTCTCTATTCACTATTTTAACGTCCACTTTGACGCTCGCCACTAAATTACGTCTATTTCGATCGCTTGGTTCGATGTTTACAAGTATAGTTCCGCCACGCACGCGTCCGTCTGCGTCCGTCTGTCAAACAGTCAGACGGCCCGGAGGCCCGAGTGACGGACAGTTTCGCAACGCCGCGATTATCGACCGTCTCTCGCTCGCTCCTTCTCTAATCACCTTTGTACCCCGTCGAGGCGCGAATACGTTCGCGAGTGTCTCGAGACGTAAGCGCACGTTATCGCCTTAATGACTCGCCGGCGCACGCACCAACACTAATTCGTTCCCCGGCGGGGCCTCGCCTCGTATTCACGGATGTAAAAAGTCGCGCCGTCAATTTCGCTCCTGGCAGTCCGCCGCCGTCGCCGCGCGACGAGTCCGAGTCTCGCGTAATCTCTTCCGGTTCCTCGCTGCTACACGTCTTGTCCATTATTCGATCATTCGTCCCGTCATCATGTCGTCCACGCAAAACAGCGTGAGACAGCGAAAGGTACGTAACGATTCTATTATCGACGATCGTTCGTTCGTTCATTGAACGAACGAAAAGCGCATTGCCGTTGATCGCCGTGCGTCTCGCGTCTTCTTTCATGATTCGTGAATCGAGACGCGCGAGAGCGGAGCGGAGCGGAGCGGAGCGAGCACGTCGCACGCATACGTACGCACGCACGCACGCACGCACGCACGCCAGATCGGGGTTCGAATTTCGAACCGTGCCTCGCGTGGCCCTCGCGTCACGTGATCGTCGTTGACACGCGCGACGAGCGCGCAATTGCGCTCGAAGGGCGCGCGATGCACGCGGCACATCGGCGCCAGGCGGCAGGCGCTCCCGCTCCCCTCCGTACGAGGCTCTCTGGTTTTTTTTACATGATAAGCACCCGTCGCCCGGCGGATCGTACGGGTCGCCCTAGATGCGATACACGCTCGTGAGTGTAGAAACGATGCGGAGAGATATAGGGAAAGAGCGTGTGCTTCCCCGCGTGGCACTCGGTCGCGCTGCTCCCGGCGAGGTTAACGTCGACCCCCCTGCGTCGTTTCAGAGTGACCTCGAGCGAATTAACCAGAATTAACTCGATTGGCGATCGACCTAGGATGACCTTGACAACGAACTCCATGTTGACTTAATCGACGTTTAGCGCTGTCAGATGGAATTCCTCCTGCTGTACCTCGATATACCGTAACGAGGATGGCACGATCAATTTCTTATCGTTCGACACGTGAAAAGGGAGATTAGATTAGATTAGAGGTGATGGATTATGTAATTGGATATAGGAAATGTCAATATTTATTTTCCACTATTTGCTATATTTTCATACCTATTCTGCATTAGAGATTGTGAGCGCAATTCCATGAATTAATCGCCAAGTAGAATTTGATCAAAGTCATCCTGGTCGATACCTGATTTAGTAGTGTAGAGTGTTTTGTGAAGACAAAGAGAATGATTTTTTTGTCTATATATGTGGAGAGAAAGATCCAAGACGGTAGATTGTACAATCAGAAATTTTGCCGCAGATAATTCGGACTGAATTGAATTAATCAGATTTAATTGAATAATCATCATCGATTTTAAAGATATCCCAAGAATGGATGATTTGAGATCCATCTCGAATCATCAAGACGATATATTCCTTTACACTTGTAACCGTTGTCCTGAATACGTTTTGCAACAGGATTTGTACATGATACATATATAACTTAATCATTTTTAGAGGAATTTCTCGTTCGTACAGGGTTGCGGGTGATACAAACGTGTAATATGTTGCAAATCTAGGTGTAAACTTTCTTACGGTAAACAATATAAGTGAACTCGATCGACACAAATAGATAGAATTTTGTAGAAATTCTCTCACTAATAATTGTCTTGTGTCTTTCAGCTGAGAACTGAAGAACATGAAGAGGAGCGCGATAATGAATTGGCATCCTACCAGAAGAAAACCACCGGCCAGCCAGGAAGGAAGTACTTCACCATGCTGGTGGTGCTTGGTACACTGTTCCTAGGTTACATAGCCATAGCGAATGACTTGAAACCCATCAGGATAGGCAGCAAGGCTATCGACACCCTAGCGTTCTCATTTAATTTACAAAAGCCGTTCTACGTGGTCGTAATCGACGCTGGATCTACCGGTAGCCGCGTATTAGCGTTCAGCTTTCACGAGTCCATTCTCAACGGGAATTTAGTGCTGGATAACGAGCTGTTCAAGGAGATAAAACCTGGATTGAGCTCGTTCGCCGACAAACCGGAGGACGCCGCGAGATCTCTGACCACGCTTCTGAACGAAGCGAAGACGGTGATCCCGCAATCGGAATGGCCTCGCACGTTGTTGACGATGAAGGCCACGGCAGGACTGAGATTGTTGCCGGAGCACAAAGCCCGCGGCATCCTAGAGGAGTGCAGAAAGCTGTTTCAAACGTCCGGATTCCAGATCGCGAGAAATTCCATCTCCATAATGGAAGGCACGGACGAGGGGATCTTCTCCTGGTTCACCGTCAATTTCTTACTCGATCGTTTTAACTCGCTCAGCTCTCAGACCACCGTGGCAGCGTTGGATCTCGGCGGTGGCTCGACGCAGGTCACGTTCCAGCCTGACAGCGCCCAGGCCAAGAAATTGGGGAAGCACGTCTACTCCATCAATGTATTCAATCACAACATGAGTCTTTACACGCACAGTTACTTAGGCATGGGTCTAATGGCCGCCAGAAAGGCGATTTTGACTTACGACATGAATCTTGAGGATACAAATTCCAAAGTTCCCATAGAGGTACATTCCGAGTGCATCAATCCGATCGTATCTGCCGAATGGTCTTATCACGGGCGCGATTACAGAGTGAAAGGTCCGATAAACGGCACGTACAAAGTGGTGAAAACGCAAAACTTTGCCGGCGGGGACGAGAACAAGCCGATAGTACGTTTTGCCGAATGTTTAAAGATAATAGAAAAGTATGTCGGCACTCTCACGGAAAGACCAATAGGTTTGAAGGATCACGAAGTATATGCATTTTCATACTACTTTGAACGTGCGACAGAGGTAAGGATTCAAAAAGTTACGAATGTTAAACAAATAATTCATTTTTTCACATATATTTGATCAACTATTAATTTCATAATACAAAAGTAAAAAATTAGAGATATTCTTTAGACTTATATAAATATTAAGCGAGTCATCGACTTATTTGATATTAAAAAGTAAATATCTCTAACATATAAATTATAAACTGTAACTGCTACAATGACAGACATATAAGAAATATTTGTACTATTAATTTTTCAGGTAGCATTAATAGATCCATTTATGGGTGGACGGGTGCAACTGAGTTCATTTTTGAAGCAAGCCATGGAGACGTGCGATTATCCAAACACGGATCAACCGTTCATGTGTTTAGATTTAACATTCATTTATGTTCTGCTAAAAGATGGATTTGGCCTGGAACCGTCGACTAAGCTACACGTAAGTAAAGATTACGTATCGCGATATTATTTTTATTCTATGAGAATATCTTCGGAGATAACAAAGTATTTTCAATTCTTATAGCTTTACAAGAAGATCAATGGCCACGAATTAAGTTGGGCACTGGGAGCCGCGTTCAATGTTCTCCAAAATGGACTTTGACGTTTTATTGTTGTACTATTGTTAGATAAGTTTTTATTCCAGATCTGTACTTTAAAAAGACAAAGCAATGGAGGAACATACAATTGTGAGAAAGAAGAGACGTGTAAAAAATAGTATTAATGAGACTTAACATTTTTTGTATAAAAACTGTGGATTTGGCGAAACATTTGATAATTGCCGACGCACAATTGCCTAATCGTACAACCTGTCTCCTACGATTTAAAGGAAAGCAGTATTTGATATATATTTTTAGGGGTATAATATATTTTTATCTGAAGTATCATGTTATCTTATCTACTTGAAACGAAAGACATATCGCCGCGTATGTATTTATGACAGTTCTTTAATACGTCCGCAATTGTTTCATGTCGATGTGCGTTTAATGATTTTTTATAATCTATCATTTCTTAATTTTGTGGATAAATACAAATTAATGTATTTGCGATATAAATCAACGATAAAATCGATTCGCCTCAGCCATTGTATAAAATTGATCAAAGTGCAATTCACTAACTGTAGAAAATGAGATGAGATTACACGAATGTATTCTCGCGGCGACATATCTGCTACGAAATCGTCATGTAAAACACGGAAACGGTATCTCTGACATATCTCGATGCACAAAAACCGCAGTTCTCATCGCAAATTTAGTACAAAAACAGATTTTATTCCCGATGCTAACGTCTACCTGTTAAAGTATGCCAACAATTAATGTACATAACATTCGATTTTTGTATGTATCGCTGCATTGCGACATTTTATGGGACTCCTTCTACGATACCGCGTAGACGATTCCTCATATTTATTGTAACGCGTCCAGCAGGGCGATGTAATAAATTTGTATACACATTGCGTGTGTAATAGATAGACAAATATTGTTGAGATAGTTCGTACGACCCAACATTCTACAATTATTCTACATACCATAAAAGAGGACACAATTTGCGTGTATGTAATATGTGTATATAGTGCCTTTAAAACGCCGTTTTTAAATAAAGCGAATGTGTGTCGTTACATAGAATTATATACCGTCTTTTATTGTATCCGTTTTGCATTTTATATTATTTAATTTTAAATGTGTGATTTTTTGTACGTTAATATTAATTTCACAATCTATATTTTTTATCACAATAATTTACGTATAGATATTCGATTCTAAATAACTTAGATAGATATTCGATTATTCGTAGGTGCAAACTCGAAAATTTAATTTACATATATCAGAACTCTTGAACACTATATCTAATTATTTTTTTAGTGAATTTTAAAGATGCAAGAATTAAAATTATGCCCATCCTTTCAAAAATACACGTATTCTTCTGATTCTTTCTTGAAAATTTGAAGAATCTGGGTTCCCCAATTAGATTCCGAAATCAATTTCTCGCTCATGGAAAACAGAAACGCGACAATTCATGCGCATCGAAGATTGCAATTGGATCTGTTTCAATCTCTGCGAGATCCTACGAATTTGTGAAAACGCGGCGAAGATGCGTCTTTGCAATGACAATGCGCATATTGTGCAAAGCAATATTTACATGTCTACAAACCCTTCCGACAATATAAATATCCATATTAAGATGCTATTGTGTGCCTATTGTCGCTGATGCTCTTGCCGCTAGATTATCATCTGGCGGACAAGAGCGCGACTATCTCCATAAAGAAGAAGAAAAACGAGAAAGATAAGGGTTCTTCATGCAAAGTGTGTTATCGCGAGCGTGCATCGGGGACGCGCGAGGCATTATTGAGGACTAACAAATGGTCGCTGTTGGAAAGATATGGGTGCAAAGTCGCGAATTATACGCGTTCTCACCTATATCCCTCAAGTTAAAATAGAGACGATGCTTTATATTCAAGAAAAGGAGCGCGTGCAGAATTCGACCTTCTCTTGAGAGGCGCATAAAGAGAGAAAGAGAGAGATCGTCTCGTCACTCGTTGTCGAAAACTCGTTCCAAGAAGCCACGAGGATCATCCGAGACAGACGGCTTCTCTTTCGTTTTTCGCTCGCTGTGAAACGTATCTTTAACAGTGGTAGTGTATCTTAACAGTGGGCTCCATTCTCTTTTCACTATCTTTGTTTTTTTTTGCGCTTCGTAGGGCGACTTCAGTCAAACTCCGGTTAACTTGATCGACAATCACTTCAACTAGCGGAAACGTGTAAAAGATTTTAGCTGTGCAATCGTCTCTGATCTAATCTGTTCTTCAAATACGTTAAACAAAAAATTAAGAAAATTCTATCCACGTTGACGAAATAATACAAATATTACTTGACACGTTGACTATCGATTAAGCTAATCAAAATTTGATTAAGGTAAATCCTTCGAGTGACTTCAATCAAATTCTGCTTAACCTAATTGATCGGTGATTGATTCAACCAGCAGGATTTATTTTATTTAAAATAAAATTTCGAACTGTGTAACTCATTTTGTCCCTAGTCTAATCCTTTTTGCATAAATCAGTAAATAATAAAACATTGATTAATAAAAAAATTAAATAAACGTTAAATAATAAAATATTAATTATTCTATCCATTATTAATAAAATGGTAGAAGTATTTTGCTCGATAAGCTGATCTGAGTCGACGAAGGCGCATAATCGGAGTTTTCCGTTTTTCTTCCGTTCTCTAATCTTTTTCCTCATAAGAGGCAATTAAAATAGCCTTGCGAGACTCGCTTCTGTATCTTTTACGCTTTCCTAGAATTGCTTCTTTTCTTTGGTTGTTTCTTTAACTTCTTAACACATTGAAATAATATCAGCCAGTTCTATTCGTATCATATATAATACATAAATAAAATGCATAGAGAACGAAAAAGCACAGCTGCAAACACGGATATTCGATCAGCTTCTGAAACCAAGATTTTTATTTCTTATTTGTTTAACGCTTTGTGAAATATGAGGGAAAAGGTAAGTAAAGTTCGTAGTTGAATTGCTTTCCAACATTTTAATCTTTTAATACTTTGCTTATTAAGCAACTAAGTTATAATTAAGGTAGTTATAGTAATTATCCCGGAGGGCAAATTTGTCAATTTTGAAAGTCCCTGCTACAAGCTTTGTCAATAGAATATCAGTGAAAATATAACAGAATCTATACTAACGGAATATAAGAACAGATTCACACTGCAAAAACTGAGTAGAATCTGCTGTAACACATTTTAAATGTTTTACGAATGATAGATTCTCTGTTTGGTTTTTGCCGCACACAATCTGCTATCTACAAGTTCTGCCAGCAAATCTGCTGTCAACCTGTTGTTATACCGTGGGCAGTTTTTATACTTCCTTTAATTATCTTATACTACGTTTATGCGAGCGTTATTTCTGTGGTAACTTACGATAATTCCTTCGCGTAAACGAGATTTTGTAGTAACTTACGATAATTTACTCCGCGTAAACGGGTGAATTATCATAAGTTACTACAGAAGTAACGCTCGCGTAAACGTAGTATTAATCGCTTAATTACCTCTTAATTACCTTATCTGTGCTCTATAGTTTACATTCATCTCGTCATCAATACATTTTTATTACCGTCGTACGAGGGAAAAGGCAAGTGAGCAAAGTCCGCTTCTCTTATTCATATACTCCTTCTTTAATTATAATACTTAATTAAATTAACTTTCCTGGTACATTGTTGAACTTGAAAATGACCCGCGTTCGAGAGTCATTTTGGGAGCTTTCAGGGCAAGCGACAAAAGTCGACACCAAGCATCGTTCTATCTTTCTTTTTTTGCTAACAAATAACAAAGATAAAACGATATATTTGTGCCGACTTGTGTCGCTTGCTGGGAAGCTCTCTTTATAGTGCAAAACACGATTGTCTGATTTTCGCGCGCGATACACATATATACATTGTCTGTTTTCTGTCAATGAACTGGCTGCGCGCTAGTTCAGAGTTTATCTTTTTTACTCCACAGTGGAAGGAAAAAGATAAACTCTGAACTAGTGCAGCCAGTTCGCCCAGTTCAGTAACAGAAAACTATACCCGTACACTCCGCTCGGTGTCACACGGACATATACCCGGCGATAAATATATGGAATATATGAGAATATGGGTCTCTCGGCTAAGCTACTCACACGTCAGTCACATCCCCTCTCGACTCCCCCGCCTTTACCCCCAGCAGCCGAGCAGCGCCGTTCACCTACACATGCGTTCATGCGTATACAAATGGAGAACTCAATTCATCAAGGTCAACGTCAACGTCGACTTGAAACAAGGCTGACCCCGCGACCCGCGGATCGTAGATCGCGCCTCTTCCTCACGACGAGAACGAGCGAGAGCTCGAGAGATCGGGAGACCGTGCCTGAGGCTGAGGGCCGAGGGGTTATTCATTATTTCATTCCACGTCGATCCCTCGATACCCCCCCCCCCCGTGGTGCGGTATGTACATACGTATACGTCGTGGAGCACCCGCGGTAACGTAACGGGTAACGGTGCCAGTTCATGCCAGTTCTCAGATTCCGACGGCGGGCGGACGTGGGCGGACGCGTGAATTATGATGGGAGCGTGAAAACGTGCGCCTCGACCGCGTGAAAGAAAGAGAGAAAAAAAAAAAAAGAATCTGCGTCGATAAATGAGCGTGTCCCCGAGGCTACTGCTAACGACCACCGTTTCTCTGCTGAATGTAGCATGTAACGCGCGGGCGGCAACGTTCCCGCAATCTCGAAAGGTAAGCAACTTTTGCAACAAACGTGCAAAGCTCCTCGCACTCCCCTCGCCGAAAGTCCCGACGGTTGACCTTTCCTCCTTTCCGCCCTTCGCCGATGTTTACTTGGCACGGCGGACGTTAGGGTTAGGGCACCGATTCTTCTTCTGTTGGAACATGTCTGTTGTCTTCTAACCTCTAACCGACCGTTAACTTTTAAAAATAGCCAGTAGAAGTCGACTGTTCTGTAAGTTAACGGTCGTTTAGAGGTTAACAATGACGTTGGAAATAGTGGCCTTTTATCGTCCTCGATCGCATGGCGCGGAAACTTCGAAAACGTGTGGTTTTGCAAAGTTCAATAATAATAATAATAGTTCTAAGTCTTATCTCCTTTATCTAGACTTCTTTTTCCTCACTCTTGATTGTATTGTCTGTGTTTGTCTATCGTTCAGCCTGTGTTTATAATCTCGCTTATCACGTGATCTTTCCCCCCAGATCTTTCGTACGCTGGAGTCGACCTGGCAACGATCGCTCCTGGAAAATCTATGCAAGAGCCCTATCTGGAAAGCTCTAGTTTCTAACTACCTGGCGCTCTCACCTGGAGCTGTCTCTATGGATAATCCTACGTCCCACCAGAAGTGTACAAAAGTCAAGATGGAACCTTACCTTGACACGTGCTACAGCCAGAACAATACCGCCGCGATGTGCGATATACCGTTTCACACGGCAACGAATACCTTAATCTATTGTCAGACCGGGGCGTTCTCAGACGCGACGCACAGTGTTAGGACCAACGTATGCGCGGACGCCAAGTATGGAAATTACATGGACAAACAGAGATACAGGGCTATAAGAAAATGGAAGCGAGTGGAGAAAGGTAAAAATCTCTCTCTCTTTTTTACTTTTCAAATATTTAAATTTTCAAATGGATGTACAAAATGTATCCTAACATTATTCACTTAATTGTCCTCCCCTCCCAAAGAACGTGATTTCTCAAACATTTTTAGACAGATCGTCCAATAATACGGAAGATTATTTCATATTGAAACTCTTGTCCTTTAATATCCTGGCACAAAACCTGTTGGAAGATCACTCGTATCTGTACATGGGTCACAACAAGAAAGCTCTGAATTGGAAAACACGAAAACCCCTTGTAATACAAGAGATATTCGAGGCGGAGGCAAATGTACATACTTATTCTTCGGCATTTAACGATGCCCGTCAAACCTGAAACGGGAAGATTAAAAGAATACCGTGTGCTATTATACTGTCGAACGTTCCAGGTAATATGCCTTCAGGAAGTGCTGGAGGAACATCTGCTGGAGTTTGTGGCTCCGTTCAAACAACACGGATACGAGTATCTGTATAAAAAGAGAACCAACGACAAGAGGGACGGCCTGCTCTTGTTGTATCGCTCTAATGAATTCGTTTTGTTAGATTACGCGAAGGTGGAGTTGTATCAATCCGGCGTCGAGCTCCTGAATAGAGACAACGTCGGAATAATAGCTAAATTGGCACTCAAAGATAATCCGGAAACGCAGGTCGTGGTTGCCACTACTCACTTGTTATATAATCCGAGGCGCAACGACGTACGATTGGCGCAGATACAGCTTTTGTTAGCGGAAATAGAGCGGATCGCATTCATCGAGAACACGATGTGAGGGCACATTTTAGTAAAATTACTCACGCTCGTCTGCGTCTGACAAATCTTTATGAAAATATTAAATATTAAATAAAATCAACAACTTTGTAGGGGGGGCCCGAAGTACTTACCGATCATCCTGGCGGGCGACTTCAACTTGGAGCCGTTCACCGGCGTTTACAAGTTCCTAACGGAGGGTTCGTTCGAGTATTGTGGCAAGGGACGAAGTTTAGAGCCGTCGGAATATCGCTCGCTGTCCAACTCTCTGATACCACCGCGATTATGTGTCACCGACAACTGTCAGCACTTTAATGTCCTGACTCAAAGACTGCGAAAGGAGGGTACCGGTAAAGTCATGGTATGTTTTTGACTGTATAACAACTACACATATACAAGAATACGTATAGTATAGTGTTAATTTTTTTCGCCGATTTCAACATCTATTTTAATGTAACGCGTCTTTCAATGAGTGTCATCAGTATTCGCACTCAGAATCTTTCCGAAGATAGCGTGCTTTTAATTCTAAATTTTATGCTGTTTTTTTTTCAATCTTAACTTTTTTCCTTTTCTAATGGTGTATCTTGAGAATTACTTTTCTAACCGTTTGTTTCTAACCAGTTGGAAAATAGCGAATCGCATCGTCAGAGACGAGACGAGAACGTGCCAACGCCTTGTAATATAAATGTGCTGCAACAAAGTGCCAACAGTGATACCGGCCGCGCGCAAGTCATCGAGATTGCGCAGGGTCATTCCGCGAGATTCTCGTCCGGCACCCTAACGCATCCCTTTAACATGCGCAGCGTTTATACGCACATGGGTGCTCATGGTGAGAAAGAAGCAACGACACATCAGAACGAATGGATCACCGTGGATTACATATTCTACAGCAACATTAAACCTTTGGAGAAATACGCTCTACCTACAGTAAGCCAATGCGCCGCGTTACGCAGAATACCAAATTTTATTGTAGGTAGCGATCATTTGTCTCTAGGTGCCACCTTTCAGTTACCGAAAAAGAAATCTCTACTTTAAAGTTAGGTAGCGTCTCATACATATCGTTTTCTCAATATAATAACTCTCAAACATCACACATAGGTTACGCTAACTCAGTCCGTTCGAAACGTGCGGCATTTCTAAACAGTAAGTTCTTTTTTTTCCCAAAATATCTCGAGTACCAGAAGTTTCATGACATTTTTATTTATATTTTTTAAGAGTGGATATTCTTTTTTCTTATTGTTTGGTGTACTGATAAAAAAAATTCAGTTGGTGCATTAGCTCACGAGACACAAACAAAAAAAACTCAAAAAACTCTGAGTTACGCTGATCCAGTGTGGTATTAACGGGTGGCCCAGGAAGTGTGGTGTTTGAGAGTTTGAGAGTGATGTTTAAAAAGAGATGTATCAAGAACTTTTATTATTGATACTGTTTATGTTGTATCAATCATAAAATGTATCAATAATTTATATTATTGATATCATTTATTTATGTGTTGCTAAGACCGAAAGATAGCACCTACACCTATAAAGCAGGCAAGATTGCAAGGTGCATTTTGATTTATGAAAGTTACAAATTTACTGTAATATATATTTCTTGCGTAACGTCCAGAAAAAGATTATAGAGAAGTATAATTTTTTTTAGTCTTTGTCTTTAATTTTTGAATTATTTTCGTCAACGACAGGTAATAAATAATTATTTTAAATTTTACCTTTTTCTGATGATAACTAAATGATAAGTATTTTATGTTATTGGTCATCAAGATTTGTTTAAAAGATTTTTTGAAGAAATCTATAAATATTGTGTCGAAAATATAGACCTAAAAAGTGTCGCCGCGTATTTTATGTAAAGAAACTGTATATCACATATATAGAACTGTGATGTAGCAACTATCGTATAAGAACTATTGACGCATAAAAAGATAAATAAAATAAACAACTGCGAGTCTATGAAACTATATAATAGCAAATGTAAAATATACTGTACAAATTTTATATACGATAATAAATAGAAAATATTCTCTGTAACAAAAATATATTATTAATCTCATTAGTCTACCTTCCTATCTGTTATTCTTTTATAAAATTCTGATCGGATTTATCTGCACGGCGCCTTTATGCAGATCCGGCTCTTTGTACGCCAGCACGCAAGTCTTACCAACGAGATTATTCTCCTTGCGAACGGAACAATTTGCGTTACAAAACTTTGCAAATTCCTTGAATCTCACTTGCAACTCAGCATCGCCGCCGTTAGGACCGACTAAGAGTTCGCATTTTAACAGATTCGCTCTCCCTTTTATACAACACTCCAAGTATCCGTGGTCCGTTGTGTACAGCTCACTAATGTTTTGAATTTTTATGTTTAAAGCGTGTCTCAGGATGCCGGTCACAAATACATCGTCTATCCAAAAGTATTCGCGGGAAGACTCGGCGTGATCGATTAGTTGACTTGCCACCTGCGGACGCGTGATGTACAGCCAGCCAGAGACGAAGTCGGGATAAACGCTGTTCGCGTATTCCGCCTTGCTCGCGTACCATTTGTTAGCTGGTTCTCGAACGGGGATCATATTCTTCATAATATAGCCAGTTAGAGAATTCTCCTCTATCATACCCGAGCGTAACTTCTCTAGTATGCCATATATATTTACCACAATATCATCGTCCATCTTCATAATGTATTTAACGTCTTTGCAATTATTTGCCGCCCAGTGAAGGCCCATGAGATGCTTACGAGTCAAGTTTCTATAAGTGTCCAAAAAATCTCCCTGAAGTATGTCACTGAATCGTCGCGACTCATCCAGTAACGCATTCTGCAGCACGCGTGTCTTCCTTTCGGCATCGTCATTTAACGTACCGAGTAGAAATACTCTTTGGATCCCTAAAGCCTGCAACTCTTCATCCGTATAAGCTCGCCGTAAAGCGCTTCTCGCCGAAGGTTCACCCGCATAAGATGTGACGATCCATATCAGAAAAGTAGCGTTGCACAACGGTTCGATTATGATTCTAGAAGCTCCTGATGACTTACCAGTCACCTCATATGCCGTTTGAAGCTGCATTAAGTTTACCTTCGTTGTCTGTGACTGTAAACTTCTCTCCACGAATGTAATGAATAACAAAACACATCCTACGCAAGCAAGCAGCAATAAAAATCTGTACTTTGAAAGCATATCTGCTTTGTATTTATAACTAAAGTTTAATAATAATTTATAATTAAAAATTAATAATAAAAACTATGACGGTAATCATAATTTCTTGAATCGCAGCATCCTCATATTAGACGTCTCATCTTCCAAATTGTTTATTCTTGAAATTGTCGCGATGGCAGTGAACGGTTCGGTCTTCAATGTCTTCATTGTCGTCTCCACGGAAAAAATATTTGTAATAATTAATATAATTAATGAATCGATTGAATTGCAATGATCTGTGATCAACATACCAAAATTAAATAAATTTCTTCTTGCTTCAAGTGGAGATTAATTTTCTCTCTTGAGCCACTTTCACCTTCTTTCTTCTTTTTCTTAGATTTATTTTTTGTCGTTACATAGAACAAAGGTTCTTTATTAAAAGCGTTTTCTATACTTTTGAATTAAATAATTTAACATAAATGTATTATTTTTCGTAATCGAACGTTTAGGTTAGAAACACATAAAGTCTAATTAGGGGGGATTCACATAATGGAATTGCATTCAGAAAAAGAACACTCAGCGGCTAAAGGTGTCCTTACATGTGAGAGCGTCAAGTGTCGAGTGTTAAAAAATCGCGAGCATTTTTTACTATAAAGTATAAAATATGGGGGAAAAAACACGTTATTTTGTATATATATAAGTACAAAAATTATATAAGCAAATTAATATTTTTAATACAACTTTGATATACATATATTTTTTGAAAAATTTATATTATTTTAGAAGAGGATAAATTATTTTATTAAATTAATATTAAGAAAACAATAAAATTGATCTTGAACTAATTAATTGTAAACCGCTTATCTTTCATCTTTTTCTTTCTAACATGGAGAGAAAAAGAAAAAGATAAACAGTGCAAGAAATTCAGAGCTAAAGGAAAGAAAAAATATTACTGGAAATGCATCATATAGCACGCAATATTTGTAGTATTATTTAATTAATTATTACTACGCATGCACAAGAAATTACTTTGTGCCGTTTAAACAATTTTCGATTGATTCGCCATTTCAGGCTAAACGAAGAAACTCAAATTTCACTATTATTTTTTCATATATTTTATTTATCATAGCAATAATAATACTGATATAATATAATAAATTTATAATATAAATTATCGAATTAAATTCATTTTTGTATTAACAAACTGGAATATATATATACTGAACTGATTTGAGCTGTTTTTGAAAAGCGCACCACAATTAGTCTGAAAATGGCGGACGGTGTCAAAACTCATATTTGAGGGGGAACTCTAGTTCGTACACGTTGAGACTGGTTGAGACGCCGCATATCGGTTATCGGAGCATATCCTATCCTACGTGAAAATTTCGTGGTTCAAGACATCAATGGCTCGCGCTTGTTGTTCATATTATTTGTAATAGCTTTAAGATAATAAGAACGCGAGAGTGTCGGCAATACTCGAACGAAGGGATCGTCTCCGCAATTGTACGATGGCTGAAAATCGGGACGCGATACTGGCTGACTTTCAGGTAATCCGGTAAAACGCCTCGCGAAGCTGCCTCGTACGCGCAGCGCAAATGCGTTGTTAGGTTATGGACGGTTACGTGTATAGATGACATTGACAATAATTCGAGGCATTCGGAGTCGAAGGCGAGAGCCGTCCCGGGAGATTCCCCCCCGGGATCGGCATTCCCCGATGACGGTCGCCAGATTGATCGGCGCTTTCGAACGCGCGACTTTTATCCGTAGAACCGAGCTGACATCGCGAATTTGCGAGAATTCGTGAGAACCTTCGTCATGACTCCTTTGTCATGTCGTGGTCATCCCGTATGCCTTTGTCTGTTTTGAAATTTGAAAAATTCCTCGACGAACATCGATGACGTGTCTTCGTCAAATACGTCATCGTGACTTTCTAACTCTACACGTCATCCATCGCTGCGTGTGTCTCGTCTTTCAAATGTAAAATTAAATTTTTCCAGGCTTGCACGGGAATCGACGATTTCGGAGACGCTATTTTGTATCTGGAGGCAACAAATTGGGATTTATTGGTAGATATAAATACAATGATTAATTGGAGCAATTACACTTTGCGCATTAGGATTAATATCTGTTACGTATTCTTCTCGTTCAGGCCGCGATAAACAAGGCCATGCCCCAGACCACGCAGCAGCTACCGTCTGAAATAACTCCGGACATAGAGATGGTGGAAGAAATTAAAGTAACTCCACGTTCGTCCACGTCGAAGCTGCAGACGGTGCCGACGGTGCAGAATTCGAAAAAGGCGGGAGCCGTGAAAGCAGACGTTGTGGAAAATGCAAAACCTGGGACAAGTAGACCTAAAAGTTGCATGAAAAATAGAACACTTACATTCCACATTAACTATCTCGATAACGTTTATAAAATAAATTTGTCCGAGTTATCCACTCTGAGTAAGTGCGAATATCGTTGATATTTAAATGATTACTAAAGTTTAGACTAGAGTTTAGTCAAGACAAAGCATGCCAAGTTACAAAAACATGTTTTTTTTCTTTCAGGAGAACTCAAACAATTTATATGGTGTAAAACGAGTGTAGCACCCTGTCAGCAGAATCTTCACGGGTGGAAGAAGGAACCTGGGACACCGAATACGGTGCTACAAACGTTAGATCTGCCTAGAGAAAATACATTGTACCTATCAGTGTTGTCGCAAGACGGCGACGTGGCTAATGAAACGTAAGTGTGTTGTCGATGCAATTTTGCGCTCGTCCACGATCGTCGGTAATCATGAATCTACATTTTTACGCCGCAGCGCAAGTCTGTCAGAGCGTATGACTCAGACTTATACATTGAACGTGAAGGACGAAGTGCATAATAAGACGTACAAGCTGAAGTTTCCCGGCACACGTACTGTGTTGGAAGTAAAAACGGACATCTACTCGTTAATAGATGTGCCTGTACGGAATCAACAGTGGAAGGGTTGGCCTAGCTCACTGAAGGACGATAATGTGATATTGGCACAAAGTGGTATATGTTATCCGGAGCATGATTTGTCCGTCGGGAAGCTCCCCGCGAAGGAAGAAAAGAAGGTAATGTCTCGTCAAATGAGCTCTCTGTTACTTAATAAATATACAGAATTATAATAATATTTGTATCCTTTCAGAAAGTCGTAGATTTAATCGACAGCGATAGTTCCATAGACGAACCAGAAGATGTGGAAGAATTCGACGTTCCGGAAGAGTTCACTGGCGACGACGATATTTTCATAGACGATGTTAAACCCACTAAAGTAGAGCGTCTCAGTGAGTATTTTTTCAACGTAAATTTCAATAAAACTGCTGTTTTATTGAAATCGTATGATATAACAGTAACTGCAATTGAATGAGATATTCTTTTTATTTATAAACAGTGCCAGAAAATGTAGTAGATGAGGTAATGGGTACGTTACATTTCGCTGAGCAATTCGAAAAGCGATACGGACCAGCGCACCCGGACTTCTTCACTGGTACATTTGAAGATGCTCTGAAAGAATCGTGTCTGAAACCAGCGAAAGAGGTTCGTTCTAAATACTAAAAATCGCAGCAAATATCTAAAACCGATTGAAATATGTCTTTTATATTGTTGCAGAGAAAATTATTGGCTGTATATTTGCACCACGATAACAGTGTATTAGCAAACGTCTTTTGTACTCAACTATTAGGTTTCGAAACAGTGCTTCAACTTCTTTCGGCAAATTTTATAGTATGGGGTTGGGACATCACGTACGAGTCTAACAAAGAAAGGTATAAAATTTATACGAATGTGTGATGTTAAAAATTTATCGAGCTCGCGTCAGTTAAATGTTCGTTTGATTCGCAGATTTTTGTATTCGGTAACTCAAACTCTTGGTACTGTCGGTTCGTTGGCTGTGTCAGGCATAGATGTTGATACTTTGCCGATTCTCATGATTATTATGAGATCTAGATCTAACACTGAGATATTTACTATCGTACACGGCAATGTAGGTGTTAACGAGTTACTAACGAATTTGGTCCAAGCCGTCGATGTGTTCCAGGTAAGAAAGTACAATTTGTTTCGCACACATGCTTGACATGCTATAGGAAAGTACAACTGTATGAATGTAAATAGAGACTTTGGTTTATATAACTGTTGTGTTTTGAAATAGGAGCAAAGACGAGCTGATATTGGCGTTGAAGAAGAACGACAAGCTAGAGAAAGAGTCAAGCAAGAACAAGACAGAGCGTATCAAGAAAGTTTGGCAGCTGATAGGTAATTAAAAAAATATTTATCTAAACTGTTGGAGAGAAGGGAGAAATATGTTTTTACATATATATAAGTGATTTATATTGAACAAAAAGTGCAATATATTCGTAATATATTTTAAGAGCAAAAGAAGAAGCGAAACAAATGCAAGAGGAGCTTGAGAAGAAACAGAAAGAGCAGGCTGAAAACGAAAGATTAGCCGAGGAAGCGAGGAAAGAGGCTCATAGGCAAGCTGTAGAGTCTAGTTTACCACCTGAGCCGCAACAGGGAGCGGGTGATGGCGTAATGAAAGTAAGAGTACGGCTTCCAGCAGGGAAATTCCTGGAACGTAAATTTCAATCGGATACACCGTTACAAACGCTCTTTAATTTCCTTATCGTGGAAGGTTATCCTACAGAGGAATATAAGCTCCTATCTAGTTGGCCTCGAAGGGATGTAAGTAGATGATGTAAGCATTTAAGTTCTTATTATGTAGATATTTGTTTGTGATTTTTTTTTTATATCGTACTTTCTCTTTAAATTAAAGCCAAATCTAAATAAAACCACTAGAGATTTTTTTTAACATTACTATAAAATATTTGTAACATGCTGATACGTTAAACATATTTTTTCTCGTTCCAGTTAACATCCATGGATTCAAAGCTCACTTTGATGGAACTGAAATTCTGTCCCCAGGAAACAGTAATTTTAGAGGAACGATAAATAATACGTTGTAATTAAATTCAAATGTAGAAATTAAGTGTCACGAATATTCTTCAAGAGAATGTATTTATTTAACAACTTCGAGATAGCTATTATACTGAGTCCTGTTTATCTTGCGACTATATACATTTTTACGCTGAATTCTTCTTGTACGATAAAGTCGTAAATGATGCACGCGCGAGTATAATTTTTATTTTATAAAAAAAAAGTTTCTATATACGTATATTATATAATTTAAATTTCCAG